CCAGTTGGGTTAACTAATGGAGTGGAGTCTGCAGAGGGTATGCATAATGGACCAGCTTCACGTGGCCTGGTGGGAGTTCAGAGCCATGGCCTAACAACTTCTCATTCCTTTGCATCTGCTGTGGGTCCTTCTTTGCCAAGAAGCAGAACCCCTGAACAACTATTTGGGAGGTCCACCGGTTCTGGTCTCCGCCCTGTAGGGAGTAGAGTATTCCCTACCGAGAGGAAGAATGTTGCTAGTCCAGATATTCAAAATGATCGTTCTTCCAGCATGAATGATCTGGCGGATATTTCAGCCAATTTTTCTGGCTTAAGCCTATCAAAAATTAGACCTGTAGATGATGATAGACGTATTCAGTCGCAGCTTCATGTGGATCTTGATAATCAGCGTGATTTTCTGTTTAAGATGCCAAATGGGCATCAGAGGCTGCAGCAGGAACTGTTAGAGAAGGCAAATGCTGAAATTTTTTCTCTTCCTACTAATTATGCTCATCTAGCAAAGAAAAATGGAATCATAACAAACCGTACTACATCCAATGGGCAAGCTAATTTTTCAAGAAGAACTTCTTCTCCCAGTCTGTACTCAAAAGGGAGTTCTTCAGGCTTTGGAGCTTTGGAAGGATCTAATGTTCATTACCAAGAAGCAAATCCAGCAGGTATGGACTTTGATGGCCATGTTGCCGGGGCCTATCCTGTAAATCCAAAGTTGAACATGACAAGTGATAATCATCTTGGTGCAGGTAATTATGAAGTTTCTTAAATTTCATCTGCAATAACTTTTTTATTTTTAAAATCAGCAGAGTACCTTGGTTGAATAGTCAGTCAGCAGTTAGCGTTGACAATGTTTCTCTCTCTCTCTCTCTCTCTCTCTCTCTCTCTCTCTTCCTCCCTCCTTTTCTTTTCTGGGTGCAGTAGCTAGTGGTGATGAACAAAGTCTGAACAGACTGGGAAACAAAGTAGGGCCTGGTCTTCATTCTTCTGTTATGGACCCATCTTATATTCAGTTTTTGCAAAGAACTGATTACGCAGCACGTAATGTAACTAGTCCAAGTGGTTATCCTCTGAGTAAAAACCACTTTGGCACTTTGCATGGAGACTTAGAGGGGCTTCAGAAGGCATATCTTGAGGCATTGCTTGCTCAAAGGAAGCAACAGTATGAGTTGTCAGTTTTAGGTAACTCTGACGGTTTTAATCATGGATATTATGGGAGCCCACCATATGGGCTTGGCATGTATCCAGGAAATCCAATGGCAAATTCACTTCATCCTTCTATTGGGTATGGTAGTCTAATGTTTGAGAGTGAGAAGATTGCCCACTTTAATTCTATGTTGAGAAGTTCAATGGGAGGGTCGGTTAGCTCCTGGAACTCAGATATTGGAAACAACCTAGAAGGACGACATGCATCATCATTATTAGATGAATTCAAGAACAATAAGAACAAATCTTTTGAATTTGCAGACATTGTTGATCACGTAATTGAATTCAGGTATGTATAGTGTTTTTCTTCAGTGTATATTCTTCTTAGGTTGCTTTGGCTGCAATTCTGACTTCAGTTTCTTCTGAGCAAAATTGTAGTACCGACCAGTATGGAAGTCGCTTTATTCAGCAGAAACTAGAAACAGCCACTGTGGAAGAAAAAATGAAGATATTTCCAGAGATTATTCCTCATGCTCGCACGTTGATGACTGATGTATTCGGAAATTATGTCGTACAGAAAGTATAATCTCTGTATTTCAAATGCTTGAAAATTCCTTCCCTTCTGTTTAAAGTTATTAATTTAGTTCTGCGTGAAATTGCAGTTTTTTGAGCATGGTACAGAAAGCCAAAGAAAGGAGTTAACCAGCCAACTTACTGGCCATGTTTTGCCTCTCAGTCTTCAAATGTATGGTTGTAGAGTGATTCAGAAGGTGATTTCCTGATCCTCAAAATCTTGATCTACCAATGCCTTTCTATGTGTTAGCTTCACACCTTTGATCTGCCTCAAAATTTGCATAGCATGGATACAAATTCTTTTTCTCCATATTATTACTTTGCAGAACTCTTTCTATCATGGTGTTTGGTGTTATTCGTGCCACTTACATGATTTTACGAGAAAATAATGTACTATATTGCATCTGGCTAGCAGTAGCTTCATGTGATGTTCTTATTAGGTTAGAAAACAAGACAATTGTAAATGAAAAGGAGTTTTGGAAAAATTTAAGAAAGATGTTGTCCACATGTAATGTATGAACACAATGCTCCTGTCTTGTATGACCTTCATTGTGACAGATAACTATATATGTTACTATGCTTCCCTCCTCCATTATGGAAAAGACACTTTGGCACCACATTTAGAAAAACAATGACCCGATCGTCATATTGTTTAAGAGTTGTTTAAGTATGGTATGAGATGAATCATACTTGGAAAATAAGAATTAATGCTCGAAATTTTACCTCAGGCCTTGGAAGTGGTTGATGTGAATCAGCAGGCACAGATGGTGTCGGAGCTTGATGGTTCAATCATGAAATGCGTCCGTGATCAGAATGGGAATCATGTCATTCAGAAGTGTATAGAATGTATCCCTCAAGATAAAATTCAATTTATAATTTCATCCTTCTATGGGCAAGTTGTCACACTATCCACTCATCCTTATGGATGCCGTGTTATACAGGTTAGTTGTTTGCATCTTCTTTCTCTGTGTGGGGATTCTTTATGTTTACTTGTGTGATCCCTTTTGGTGCTTACAGAGGGTTCTGGAACATTGCAATGATTCAAACACACAACAAATAATCATGGATGAAATCATGCAATCTGTATGCATTTTGGCACAAGATCAATATGGAAATTACGTCATTCAGGTATTCAATACAATACTCTGTATATATATGGTTGAGCTGCTGTGTTATATTTATTTTTCCATAAATAGCCATGGATTTGTTCTATTCTGTTAAATGAGTTATGTTCCAGAAAATATGCATTGTTTTGGATGCAAATGCTTTTCCACAAAAAGGGAAAAGAACATTGGATCTTTGGGCATGAGAGGACATATTGGCCTAACACTATGACAACTCGTTTGCTTAGCAAATATTATTGAACCTGATAACCAGAATTCAACTTGTTTAAGATTATTCTGAGCATGTGTACAGAACTGGATGCCGAGGTACTTTATATTTTTGTTTTCATTGGTAGATCGTATGCCTTGTAGCTTATACTATTCATGACTATGCCTCCTGTGATGTCATTTTTTTATTCATCTGAGCATTGAGACAAAACTGGATGCCAAGGTACTTGATTGTCTTTTTCAATCTGTCTTTTTCTTTGATTGAAAGCCGATGCTGTTTATAGTGTGTTCTAACTTTTGTTTTCACAACCGATAGTAGTCATGCTTTGTCTTTGCTTTGAGACCCTATGCTATTTGTGACATCTAACATCATCAAGTATATATATGTGTGTGATGGAAATACTCATGTTCATATCATCAACTGTGCGTATCTGAGATAAATACTCTTGTTTGGTAGCACGTCCTTGAACATGGTAAACCGCACGAACGGACTGCAATTATCCACAAGCTTGCAGGACAAATTGTGAAGATGAGTCAGCAGAAGTTTGCTTCTAATGTTGTGGAGAAGTGCTTAACTTTTGGGAATGCTGATGAGCGCCAGTTTTTAGTGAATGAGATGCTGGGTTCAACTGATGAAAATGAGCCCTTACAGGTCTAAAATTAACGTTTTCCATACAGAAGATAATATATACTTTCAAGATAGTCTACACTAGCTATGGAAATTCTTACATGAATTTAGCACATTGTACACAAATCGAAGTCATCCTTGATCATATTTTACTGTACAATGAATTAACGCTACCGACTGCTGCCAGTCTACTAAGTTCACACTTCGCACTGCCACAATTGAAAATCCACATAGTCACGCATACGTAACAAAATATGTGATGCTTCAAGGTCATGAATTTTTCAGTTTTTGATGCATGACCAAATTTTTCAAATGCAAATGTGCAGGCCATGATGAAAGATCCCTTTGGAAACTACGTTGTGCAGAAGGTTCTTGAGACTTGTGATGATCAGAGTCTTGAGTTGATTCTTTCTCGCATTAAGGTTCATTTGACTGCCCTGAAGAAGTACACCTACGGCAAACATATCGTTTCTCGTGTCGAGAAACTCATCACAACTGGAGGTGAGCCTTTTCCTACATATTTCTTGTACAGATTTGCAGAGTAAAAGACCTCTAACAGATTTTGATCTATCATATGCAGAAAGGCGCATAGGGTTGTCAGCCTCGTGTTCTTCTTGAAGCACCCAATCTGGAGCGAGCAGAAGGCATTTTTCCCTGTTGCCACCATGAATAAGTATGCACCTTGTACAGCTAACATGGACAGTGACCTTAGCAAGTTCGTTCAGTTCGTATAAGTACACAGGGAAGCTATAGTTGTAAATAAGCATGGAATCTGGAGCCCCCTGCGATATGATGTTTATCCCCCTCCTAGTATATATTTTGGCTCGCCGGTTCTAATCTGACCAGGAAAACTCGGCATGGAAGAGGGTCAGTCCTTGGGCTCGAGAATTTACCGGTACAAGGTTCGTTGTCTATTTAACAGTCTCAAGTGTAAATGGTTAATTGCAATTTGAAAGAGAGGGTAAATAGGGAGTGTTCATATATGGTGGGGCTTTCGACTTTGAGAACTACTTTGTGTAAATACACTGCAATTTTCTGGAGGAGATATATATATTACTTGTCTTTTGCAGATATCTTGTTCGTTCCTTTGTTCCTTCATTTTCCGCTTCATGACTTCTCGCATCTCAAGTATGCATATCGCGAGTAAAACTCGAATTGTACAGGTTCCTAAAAGAAATTAATTCAAATTGTTACAATAGAAATGAGCGAATGAGCACCCACAAAACTCAATACACCCGGTGTACGAGATGCACGTGTTTGAACAGGTTAAAGATTCAGCCATGCAAATCTGGCCGTCCAATGAACCGGTGAACATAGTGGAATTTCACAAAATAACATGTAATTTTTCAGTTCTCTTTCATTGTTGCGTCAAAAAAATCTCATCCACAGCCAAATGGCAAAGAACGTGTAATTTTCCAAAGTTTAAGCTTCCAATTTCATTTCTAATTTTGAACTCCTCTGTCAGACAAGTAAGAACACTCTGCAATCTCCTTTCCATCTTCAATTTCCGTATGCGAATCCAATCGATCAACAAACCGGTTTTTCACTCTCCTATTCTTCAAGATCGCGGCCGACTCCCTCATCAAATCAATGTACTTCATCCTCACCCCCGAAAGCGGATGCCTCCCAATAGCAGACTCATCACGGTAAGCCTCTTTGAGGATTGCAGTGCAAGTCCTGTTCCTCAGAGACAAGTAAAACATATGGGGATGCCTCTCAAACGCCTTGTGCACTTTCTGCGGCATCCCCATATGTTTCTTAAGACACAGAAGCTTCTTCCTCTCTGCTGAATGCTCAACAAACAGACTCAGCAACTCATGAAGAAGCCCCACCACGCGCTTCTCCGATACATCACTGTCCGGATCCAGATGAGAAAAATCCTCGTAAGGCGAAACGTAGGGAAGCTTCTGAAACTCCTCCAACCAACCCATAATCTTCCTCCTCAGCCTCAAACCCTTAGAGGGGAAAAGTGGGAACTCATGCTGCCTCCATCGGAGCTCCGAAATAAACCCCTCTCTTCATTGCAGTCCTCTGCACCACTGACAACACCTTCTCACTACTCTCAACAGCCAACCCCTGCATCCCATCCTCCATCTCCACAAATCTAAAACTCTCATCCAAATTGGCATCCGTGTTTCGCACGAAATCATCAGGCAAACCCAAATACCACTGCATTCCCTGAACAATCTTCAAAGGCAAGATCTTTTTTTCGCTCATCAGAATCAACCTTTTCAACCTATCCCTTAAATCCTCCCTACATTCCTCACAAACCCTTTTCTCCTCCCTATCAATCTCATCAGCTTCTGGGGTCAATCTAAACCATGGAAGATTGTGTTTCGGGCCGGTAAACTCCTCGAAAATCGAAGGGTACAGCCTCAGAAACCTTGCAACCTTCATGGGGACCTCCAATTGAATCCCCCTTTTGGAGACATCAGAGATTGGGATGCAGCCACTGGGGTTTTGGGCAATCAAATTCTTGAGGGAAATGATGGGTTTAAGAACAATGGACTTGTGGATTTGATCGAGTGAATCAAAGTAAGGGTCTTTCTTCCATTTCATGTACACATCGACGTAGGTGGATTTCTGGGTGTGGGTGTGAGGAGGGTTTTGGGGGAGGTGCAGGAAGGAAAAGGTTGGGTTTAAAGAGGGGAAAATTAGGGTTTTTAGGGTTTTGGAGGTGGGTTTCTTGAGTAACATGTGTAGGGGTTTAGGGGACAATCAGATAAATCTGTCGCGGGGCGGATTCAGAAAGATAAACTGAGAGGTTGCAGCAATGGCGGCCTTTTGTAGGAAGTTTCAGTCAAGCTCGATCTGCAGTCGAATGTTCTACCATTGAGCTATGGACCCTTTAAATAAGAAATTTTTAGTTAAATTACTTGTCTATCAGCCAAATTTTTTTTTTTTTTTTTTTTTAACAAATAATTTTATCTAAGGATGAGTTAAACTTAGTCTTCTAGTAATAATGTGGTTCAAATTTGTCTTTGATAAGAATCAAACTTAAAATCTTTCACTTACTTACAAGTGAACATGAATATCGTTAAACTGTAAAACTAAGTGACATATTAGACTATTTCTTCACACTACATGTTTTTTTATTTCAAATTTCAGAAGAAAAAATTAGTACTAACCACAAATTTCGAAATAACAAACTCCCGTAACCAAATGATAACATGTCCATTCCCATGGTACTGACATGGACTTCGATGCCAAGTAGAAATTGTACAATACAATCGAATATATATCTCCCCCTGGTTTTAAAGGGTTTACATATAAAAAATTACAGGAAAGGATTCGGGGAGTTTTTATCCTTATAAAGTTTTGGGGGGAGGGAGGCTACTTACGGAGGGGCTTGTGCCCCCTTTGTTAATTTTTACAAATCGCCAACCAACACAAGACTGCTGACAGTGAGACTCGAATCTTCATGTGGCAACATAGAAAGCAGGAACCTTTATCAACTGAACCAACCCTTATTGGCTGAAATCGGGGAGCTTTGTTCAAATAGAATCACGAAGTATTCAAAAAGATTTTTTTAGTGTTCTGATTTAGTCCATTTTCTGTTAATATTTCTGAACATAATGTGAAGGTACAAAATTGAATGGAAAGAAAGATTTACTATAATTAAGAATAAAAACGATGAATTTATTTACAGAAAGGAAGGACAAATCCTCTATATATCAAAGGTATGTTAAAAGCAAAAAACCATCTAAATCAAAGAAGATATAACATGTACAAGGGAGTTGGTTAAGAATCAGCTGCCGGTGCAAATGCAGAGCAGAAACAAGCAAAGGAACGCCATTCTGCCCCCCGCTCCAGGGAGCCAAAGATAGAGAACGTCAATGCGACACTGAAGCTTCCTCAACAGAAAACAAAGACTCGTTGCAGATGTGGATTCCTGGTTTCAAAGGTTCCACCATTTCTTCTTTTTCCTTAAGCTGGGCGGAGGAAGTTCTGAACAAGAAAACAAAATACAACGGAAAGATAACAAATGTTAACGCCAGTCATATCATTTAATGTGTCCTTTTATTTCCCAGTAGATGTATGTAAAAAACGCTTATTTTGATTTACCTCCTTGGGGATAAATCGAATTGTAATGCACTTCGGCCCAAAAGCTCAAGCAGATAACTGCACAAGTGAAATATAAGCAAACATGACCAAATACGGTGACTAATAGAGGGAGGAGGGATGAAAGATGGAAGTTTATTAACTTCTAAAACCGTTACCTCTATTGGACTTTTGAATGTGCGGAAGGATTTCAATGTAACATGTATCTCGGAAAGAAGTTATTACAACTATCTTGACACCATACTGCAATAAAATAATGGACATATCAGTCGACAATTGAATGTTTCTCTACGAACTGATGGACACCCACATAAAAGCAAAAGATTAAGCAAAAAAATAAAAACTAGCAAAAAGGGAGTGATTCATACCGAATCTGCGGCAGCCTGCAATGTGACATGATCACCCCATTCACCGTTCCTATTTCATCCATGTCAAGAAGAATTAGTAAATAAACGAGAAAAAGATGTAAGCTTTAGGATAGAAAATTATGGATAAAGAGAATAGCACACTACTTGCTCATCTTGTTTAGATAATCAACATAACCCGTTAGAACGTAACCCTCGTACATTTCAGGGTGACTCATCAGCTGAGACATAAAAAAGATGAGTAGTTAAATTACAAAATATCGTCTTCAAAACCTTCACAAGAATAACTTGAATTTAACTACTAAAGATCCACTTACTGAAATGCCAACCAACCTGTTGAATAATTTGGTCTCTTACAACACCATGGTAGTCAGGAGAACGATATAGTTGATCTGATAAAGCACGAAACTGGGAAATAAAACAATAGTGAGACACTATCAACTTAACTCAGAAGAGGACTCTGGAATATTGCAAGTTAGATATGTGAAATTACATGTATAAAGATATGTTACATATACATTTGAGCAGTGCATTTACAATCCAGAAAGAAAAAAGCATTGAAAGAGTAGCGGGAATGGGGAAAAAGTTGTTTCAATCAAGACTGCATCAAATTATTCATTGCGAATACACCGCTTGATATACTTCAACAAAACTTGGATGCTCAGTAAATTTTCATTTATCATTTTAAAATGAAAGAATAAAAATGATAGACCAATCATTTAAGTAAAATAATACCAACCTGACAGTTACCATCTCCCTGGACCTTACACTCCACCAAATCATACAACTGCAGCCTATTGAAGAAAAAGAAAAAAAATTAGGGCTTGTTTGGTACTCTACTTGAATCCAACTTTTTAAACTCAAAAACAATTTTCAAGTTTTAGGTCTTAAAAACTTGTTTGGTAGGACTATTTTAAAAAACTGAACTCAAGATTAACTCAAAAATATAGTCTATTATCTAAAAACATAAAAAGTGAGTTTTTAGAGTTTTTAAACTTAAACCCACTCATTTCTTTTCTCTCCCTCCTCCCCTCTCACTCCAAATCTATCTCTCTCCTTTTTTTTTTTTTTACCTTTTTCGTCTCTTCTCCAATCCGTTCTCTTCATTCTCTTGGTTCTTTCTCTCACTCCCCTTCCTCTCTATCTCGTCCAATCCTCTCTTTTCTTTCTCTTTCCTTCAATCATCTCTTACCTCTCTCCTCTTTCTCCCTCTCCTGCGACCCCCTCTTTTTAGATCTCTTCGTCCAGTTTAAGTCGTAAGATTTAAAAAATTTAAATCGTAAACCAATCAAGTTTTTGAGTCTTAAAGAAAATTGTTTTAAAGAAATGTTCTTAAGAAATGTTTTGAGAAATGATAAAAAATTTTCAAAAAAAGATACCAAACAGGCCGTTAGACACCTGAAGTGAAACACCCAATACTATCGATCTGTTAAAAAAAATCAGAGACAGAAACATAGGTTTTACAATATATCCCGGGAGACAATTCATTACTCATAAATAAAGTATATAATACGTGGAACTAACATAAAATACCTATCCAAAAGCCTCTGATGATCTGATAACTGTTCATCCTCCGAGGGTAATTTTTCATTCGTTTTAGGAACATGCTGCCAAAAGAATGATGATAATGTGAATCCCATTTTGCAATAAACATTAAACTAAAAATGTGTATTGGCATGCAATAAAGTTTCCTAACAAAAAACAAACTGACAAATGGATACTGATCTATTCCCACACCATCCCGAATATTAATACCAGGAGACCAATTTCTACCAATTTAAACAAATAAACTTTCAGTCTGTGATGAGTGGGGGGTGTAATCCCAGAAGAGAGTGGCTGGGTGAAGGGAGGGAATTGCGATTTGGGGTTGTGGGTTGGGTGTTGGCAGGCTGTCTGGGTGCTGTTTGGAAGGTGGGGCAGAATTTTGTCGGCGAATGCTCAATGCCGGAATTAACAGGGTGGCTGGTTGTTTGCTTGCCGTGGAGGTGACTGGCAGCATGTGACATCGTATAAAGCGAGAGAGAGAGGTTTCGGTTTTTTACTTCTTTAGTCTTATCTTTTATTTCTATTTAGTTTTTTTTTTTTTGTTTTGTTATTTTAAATTTTTTTAACAATTTTAATTAAAAAAGTCTGTGTGGTATCACATAATTTGCTTTATAGGCCACATATGATTCATCTCAACATGCGAAGAACCATATTGATGAGTGTACAGTATAAAAGTGATGAAATTGATGAGTTTGAGACATAAAAGATCATTTGTGATTAAAATTCGTTTCATAATTACAGAACAGATATTTTAAGAGAAAATTTGGTACAAGTACTAAAATATTATATGTTTTATTACGAAAAAAAATGTGTTCAGATTCAGCCCACCCCATTTCTGAATCCTGGCTTCATCCCTGGATAGATGACCAGCAGATGATATGCATAATCTTTTGATAATTAAATGGCAGCAGCAAGATGCCATAAAAGCTAGACTTACAGGTACAGAAGCCATCTGATTCAATCTTCTCCCTACTTCACCATCAAGAGAAAATTCATCTGTTATTTCCAGTGAATGCAAAAAGTCTTCCCCATTAATTGAGTATTCTCCTTCGCAGTGATCACTTGCTAACTCGTTTCCATTTCTCCTTGGATCATCCACCCCATGTTGATTATGTCTATAATCATCGGTGTCCATATTTGTGCCGAAATCATTTACTGCATCCTGAACATTTTCAAGCCCTACAGATTTCCAACATTTCATCTTATTAAGGAGAACAAATACACAAATGCAAATCAGAGAACTTAACGAGAATGTCAATTTGCATAATCCTATACCAGTACCACTGTGCCTATTTGATGGACCAAGCCAATCCTGCGCAATGATTGACGCTTCCAACTGCCCTTCTCCATAACCAGTAGCTCCTGACGTTTCTACAGAAGCGAGCCTCGACAACTCTTCTTGATAAGCATAAGCTATAATCTCATCATTCTCCACAATACAAGGCTCAACATAACCTTCTCTAACATACTCTACTTGACTAAAATCCTGGTCGTATTGCGTAACAGTACTATGAGAATTATCATTCGACAATGTGCAAACATCCAAGAGATGGAGACCCCAGCGAAGCACGTCGGGATCAAGGTTATATGTCTTCATCTGCTCGTTTAACATCTATCTAGCAACACTACCTTTGCTCCTGAAGTACCTAGCCCCGTTAAATTTCAATAACCGAAAAAAACTCGAAAAGGACATAATCATAACAATAGAAACTACATTATTTGAAATCTATTAAACTAAGTTCACAGTCATATAATCGGTTTCCTCAAAATCCATCTATAATTTCAATAAAAAAATCTAAACTTTAAACTAGCCCAACAGTAAAATCTAAAAAAAGAAACAAATATATTGCACATAAAGTTCAAAAAACTTTAAATTTCACAGAGCAGAACATGAATCACAAAACCCTAATCCTAAAAATTCCAATAAATTTCAGAAACGCTTCAAACTTTGAATTTAAAACCTACCCAGCAAAATTAAAAGAAAAAAAACCAACCTTTGAATCCAAATTACGGGGGCCGGAAGAATCTTGGGAGCCAAACGGAAGGGGTCGTGAACGCAAGCGCCACCGGGGGAGGAAGATAAGAAAGTGTTTGTTGAAACTGGAAACCGCCGTTGGATTTGGCGTGTTTTGTAGAAATCGAAAAATCCCGTTGGGGTTAAATACGGCTCGCTTTTCGCAGAGGGAACCTGAAACAGAGTGAAACAAACCGCCCCGCTCCACATGATGATTTGGCACGCGGAGGTCACCGGGATCTGCCGGTTCCCCGGTGATTGTGCCACGTGTTGGCTTGTTAAGGCTGGTTTGGGATATAGAGAATCATAGATGGATCTGTCACAGGATAGGCCCGTGAGCCTAGTAGTATGGCCTAGTAGTTGGAGATGAGAATATAGGTTCGTTTGGATGTACTTTTAAAATGATTGAAAATATTTTTAAGAAAAATATTTTTGGATTTCAAAAGTAATTGAAGTGCTTTATGCAAAAAGCACTAGTTATGTGTTTTTCCAGGATTTACTTGCATTTTTACCAAGGATTGGTTCTAAAAATATGTTCACCAAAAGTGTTTTTAGTCATTTTAAAAGCACATCCAAACAAGCTCTATATTGGGACAAGTGTAGTCAAAATCTTTTACCCCTTTAACACGGAAAAGATCTTATACGGATCCTCTTCACCAAGTCCACCAAGGCACACAATCTGAACATTTGAAATGTGATCTAACGGCTATAAATAGAGATCTACTTTAAAAGTTATAATAACTTTAACCGTTAGATCAAATTTCAAAGACTCGAATTGTGTGCCTTGGTGGAAAGGATCCTTTCCCCTTTTAACAATCAACCTGAAAACGAAAATTTAGGGTATCAAAGGGATAATATTTGCTTGAGGACTTCATATTCCTTATTTGGTGACATAAATTAATGGTAATACAACGCATGCTTCATTGTTTTAAATTCTGGTACCGACTCAAAGACGTTAAATTACGCGTTAACATGGATTTTTAAAAACCGATACAACATTTGTTGCAAATTCTACAATGATGACTGCAAGGCATGTTGAAGAAATAATTAGTTACATCATTATTTTGATGATTTTTTTTTTTTTTTGCGTGATAAGTTATTTATATTGTAACATGTGTGCAATTATTAACATTTGATGTGGTGTATCGCTTGTACTCCTCCCATCAGAGTTGGTCCTTTTGACATAACATTCTTAAAGTCACCTCTTGATCATGAAGTGATTGGAAAGTGAACTAGGATCTACAATATATGACTTTGAGTGCCTCTGAATCTTGGTTCATGTGCGTATCCTAAGGGGGTGTAGTCAAACTTAGATTTTAAAGGATTTTAAAGAATTTTAAAAGTGATAGATTTGATAAGATTTAAGAGGATTAAAGATGCCTACAAAATTCATATGGATTTTTAAAGAATTTGAATGGATTGTGGTGGAAGGATTTGAAATCCTAGAGGGTGAGGTTGGATTCTTTTTAGTATTGGTTATATATGCTTTTGGCTCTTAAATCCCACAAAATACACAACTTATTGAAATCCTCTAAAATCTTAATTTTTTTTAATATGCTTAGATTTGGATGGATTTTAAAATCCTTTAAAATCTTTTAATTGACTACACCTAGATTTTAAAGGATTCTAAAATCCTTTAACTGACTACACCTAGATTTGAATGGATTCTAAAATCCTTTAAAATGTTTTAATTGACTACACTAGGATTTTAAAGTCTTTTAAAATCCTCTCAAATCCAAGTTTGACTACACCTCCTAGTCTCATTTCAAAATCTAGCCTAAAAAAAAACTACAAGCTTTCTCTTCATTTGTTTGTAAGAGGCCACGATAGCCATTATACATGCTAGAAGGCGGTTAGATACCCATTAAGACACTTCTTGAAAACCGAAAAAATATTCAATTCCGATCCTGGATAGGATTCACCATCTGCTAGACATACCGCATAAGCCAACAGTAGTATGAATGGAACAGGAACCCCTCAACCTGGTGAAGTTGCATATCTGCTAACGTTGAAGGTGAAACTACCCTAAATTTTCCCTTTAAAGTTCAGATTTTTTTTTTTTTAATACCCTAAATTTAGGGTATTAAACGGCATGGAAACCATGGGAACATTTACCCAAGAAGTAGTCTATTCCCACTTGCTAGCAACAAGAAGAGAGGTAGGTAGAGATTTGGCGGACTCATGAAATTTCTCATGAGTCTGACTGAGTACAAAATGTCTCTCAATTTAATTTGAGGAGCCTCTATGTTTTCGTTGAGATGCTTTATTTGAGGATCGTAAACCTGATAGCATTTGGTTGGATTATCTTGACTCGCATTCATAGGGGACGAGCGTGGGGGTTTCTTCCGTGGCCCGACCCCTTTCAATTGCTCTAAGCGGGGAGAAGGGTACCTTAGAGTTTACCAACTTACAACTCACTCAAAAGAAAATATATGCATGCACGAACAAATTGCATCATTCTATAAGCATACTATATTTGTTGGAAGCTCACCATATATATGTCATCGATTGAGACATTTTCATCGAAGTGTTATTCTCCTGGAGGCGCTTGGTTTCATTTTCATTGAAGCGTTATTCTTCCGATGGCGCCAAGCGCCTCCAGGAGGCCAATCCTAATAGTTCAAACTGCCATCCATATGCAACTTTACATTTCCATTCCTCAGCAAGTATACATAGAGCAGATTTTCCATCGCATGAGCAAAACAAAAAAGAGGCGTCACTGTCGCATGATAAGGCCATTACATGATCAAAACTAGCAACTGTGCCAATTCCCAGTATGCTCCTCAACTTACTTCAACAAGGATTTACAATCTTTGGTCTCCCTATTAGCCAATTAAAGCAACAGTTCTCTCCGATGAATGGATCCACAAGCCTCCTCATCAAACTCTCCCTTTTGGATTCTGCGAAATAATCTTCCTTCGAGTCCACATTGTGTAAAGGGAGTTCCGGGCTTCCCATATCTGTCGTCTCCATAATTCGGTTCACCATCTCCAAGACTTCACTCATTTTGGGGCGTGATTTAGGCGCTCGCACCAAGCACCGGCTGGCTACGGTTGCTAGTTTTTGGGCCGCCTTGAGGGAATACTTTCCTTCAAGCCTTGGATCCAAAATCACCTGGAACTTTTTTGGATCGGAAGAGAGGTGTGGCCTCACCCATTCCATGAGTTTTTGCTCGTTCTTGGGTCGGTTTCTGTCCACAGGTCGTCTGCCTGTAATGAGTTCTAAAAGGAAAATTCCATAACTCCAGACATCACTTTTCGACGTGAGATGCCCAGTTTGAATGTACTCAGGAGCTGCATATCCTACTGTTCCAACAACCTATAAAAATATGATCAATTGGAAAGTTATTTTGGCAAGTTAGAAAGAAACTACAGGAAGTAATTTAATGTATAAGATCATAGTTCGTGACAACTGATTTTGGCAAGTCAGCCATCCGTTTCGCTTACATGACATTCACTATAATAGAAAGTCAATTCTGAGGTTATGTAAGCATAATCTTGTGCATATATATGAACATACCGCGGTAGAGACGTGGCTCAATCCATCTGAAGGCCCAAGTCTGGCCATACCGAAGTCTGACAACTTTGCATTCCATTGTTCATCTAACAGTATGTTTGAAGACTTGAAATCCCTAAAGATAATCTATGCCAGAGATGAAAATTGGAAACAATGTTAAATAATCAGTGGAAGTAGAATGAACACTATAATTCTGAATGCTCAGAATTCTTTATAATGAGCTGCGTATGTGGTTCAACGCATAAAGGGCCCGGGACAACTAGAAATTACCTGAAATTCCATCCCCTCATGGAGGTATGCTAAGCCGCGGGCAGTATCCTGGGCTATTTTCATTCTTGTGCCCCATGGAAGAGCTATCTGAAATCGGCTAGATAAGTGGTCTTGCACACTTCTGTTGGGCATATATTCGTATACCAGGAGCCGTTGAATCCCTCTTTCGTCATCCTCAGCACAGTAGCCTAACAGCTTGACAAGATTTGGATGTACAACAACCCCTAAAACATTAACCTCAGTCACCCACTCTTTATGGCCCTGTTATACGAAAGATGGAAATTAAAAATATCAAACACCTTGAAGAAATGGGCAAGGATTTTATCAGATCACACAGTAAATAACATTTTTCCGAGCTTTGAGCAACATAACCTTGCAAGTTATTATCATTTGAGCACGGATAATTTACAAGTTATTATCATTTCATAGTTTGTTATTTGAGTATCGTACGCTAGGTTTTTATCAGAACTTACTCATTCTTGTGTGAAATTGTGCAGTAGTTGTTGAAAGTTAAAAAATGCGTCGCATTCTTAACAAAAATAATCCACCTTAGTTCTACCGCTATGGTACTACTATTTGGTTCCAATAACTCGTGAGAATCTTTTACTCTCGCCATCAGATTAGTGTATATCTTATGCTCGTGTATATATATATATATATATATATATATATATATATATATATATATATCAGCATAGAGGAAGAAGACTTGCCTGAAGTCCCCTTTTACTCAGTTGTTTAACTGCAACATCTATTCTTTGATGTTGATCTTCTGTGCTCTGGATATGACCCCTATACACCCCGCCAAAACCACCCTCTCCAAGCATGAGGGAGAGACTAAAGTTCTTTGTTGCCGCCTTTAACTCCGAGCATGTGAATTCTCTGAGATTATTACTCTGTCTCTGAGACAATGCTGCAAATGACTTCGCGGACGATGTTGTACTAAGCTCTGCAGTGGCATTCTGAGAATTGAACTCGGAACTAGATTTTCTTGGGTCGCGATCGAGTGAAAAGAACGAGGAAGCTGAACGAGTAGAGATAGACTTAGGAGACTTTGGTTCATCATCCTTCTCTCTGTTGTAGAAATTATAAAAACACTTCATTGCCGGCTGAAGGCGATGACCTTACTGCACTAGGCAAACAGAATTCTTGTCATGTCTTGTACATTTTCGGATATGAAAAGCAAAATCTTGAATGTTAACAACAATTCAAATGGTTTAAACCCAAAAACTCCCCCTTCACAAACTCAATTAGCAAACAGTCATATCTTAAAGCTAAATTAGACCTACCACAAGGAGATTATGCACAGCTTTTCAATTTAGTTGCTCACAGAATTCTCCTTTTTCGACATAACCCGAAAAAAAATCCATCTCTCAAGGAGACCAAAAAAGTATTTAAACTACC